GAAGACGGTGGTCATGTTACAACTTGCTCCGTGTTCACATTACATCGAACCATCGACATTTGTGAATGTAGTAGATAAATTCACATCCCTTGAGAACACGACAGAGAGATATTAAACTTTTGACGAAGAACAACAGAGGCTTTTGAAATTCTAAAAGTTCGAGTTTCGTCTCAGAAAGGAATTAAGAAGAACACAAAATGAATAGAATATGCCTGTGTGCTGGCGTGTCTTCTATACTCTTATGAGATATGTTTAGTGTATTAAAGACATTTAGCAGGAGAGATTCCATCAACGTTGTTTAAGATCGATTCTTGATCTACGCTGGGTTTCTCACAAGCCAAGGATTATGGTTCTCGAAGATCCTGAGTGGGAAACTGCTGATTGTGATCGAAATAAATAGAGGCGTACATTTCAAGAACATGAAATGAGTTAATCAAACGTCAAATTTATTGATCCAGCAATCTATTTAATTACTTTAATGAATGTGACAGAGTATATCTCTCTAATGCAGGCTTCGTTAGCCACAAAAATAATGTCGGATCTTTTAACAGAGAATCAATACTACACTGAGAATAACTTAAAATGCGGAGTGTTTCAGAAAAAAATACAGAAAATACCCCGACAAAGCTACACAGTCTTTCCAAAACCGACTAGTCACTGAACAGAAGAATTTAGATTACCATGACTGCAATAAGCATTACAAGACAATTACTGGCTTCAAGAATTTTGTAACCTAGTGAAGGTTAATGAATAGAATAATCAAAAGAAGGTTGGTAATGAACATTAATATTTAGGACAAGAACAATATATATAAATTCGCCAGAGGCGTATAGAAGTAGTCAACTGCTAGAAGTGAGTCAAGTGAAGTCCACAATGAATCTCCAACTACAGGATATCTACCAACCGCCTCACGAAATCAATGTAATGTACCGAGCCCGCAAGCTTGGTCAAAAACTCCCCGTACACCCCGTATAAAACGGGGTCTGGTAGTTGTTTTCCGAGACTAGACTCTGTCCTTTGACAATGCCTCGAGTGAGAATCGTCTCTACCCGAAAGCAGAGGGTTTGACCAGCATGGGTGAAGACGAATCTCCAATTGCAGGATATCTACCAACCGCCCCATGCGGTCATATGTTGCATAAGGCCGAATTTAATGTGGAGTATCCGATCCTGTAGGCTCGGCCAAAAATTCCCCGTATAAAACGGGTTCAAGTAGCTGTTTCTCGAGACGAGACTCTGCCCTTCGACATAGCCTCGTCTGGGTATCGACTCTGCACGGAGGCAGAGAGTTTTACCAGCACCAATTAAAGACCAGGTACAGTATTCACTACTGTATTTATGGGAATGGGGGCATACTAATTATTGTTTTTACTACAACAAAGAGCCATTGTCATACCCACAAAAACTAAAAACATTGATCAAATTTGTCAGTGATTGCATACTTTTTTTTAACTTGTCGTCAACTACCATGATTGCATGAATATATGAGCATTGTGAGTATGTTTTTCTAGGTAGGCAGGCATCGAAAGTTATAAAAATTACATTACACAATCATATATCAGAATCATATACTAGCAGAACACTCAGCCTTGGCCGGGACCATATGTCTTATTTTAGAGGAAAATAACAAAAACAATGTAATCTCAAAAACGGTAAATGTTAATCATACTTGAATAATTGTTTCAGGAAAATATTTTCTGTTGGCAGATAAACAACTTCATGAAAATTCACTTTTGCCAAAAACATACACATTCATCAATTTGGTACTCTTTGATCATTTGCCTAGCACTTATTTTTTGCCATGTCCCTTCACGACGTAAGTGAGCATTGCTCTCCACACATTCCTTTTCATTATTATTTGTTAATTGCCAATTTCTTAGGTAACATAGTGGAATGATTTCCTTTTGCCTTCTCCACGGTTTGGAATTCATATCGTTCTTTAGACTAGTTCATATCCAAGTATAGAATCCCCAGTCTGTCATGCTATTTAATCCCTAGCTGCTATGTATGAGAATGGTAGGGACGAATTCCTGCACCTCCCAAAGAATTTTCAGGAAAATGAACGTACGTTACAGGCTAAACCGGAATTTGCACTCGACTCTTCAATTCCTCTTCCGGTACCTATATCCGGAACATCCCGTTGCATTGTATAATTTTCTGTTTTAATTCTGTGCATGAAAATGCAAGTTGATGAATACTTGTTTTATTGAGAAAGGCAAAACAGATTTAGTCGTATATTAGGAATAAAAGAATATTTGAAATATTTTACCGTTGACAAATGTTTAATGTTGAAAATATTTTACCGTACACAAATGTTTAATGTTGAAAAGTTTCATCGATTTTACATTTTTTGCTTCCCTTTTCATACAAATGCTTCCAAATTCAATACGTTCGTAGAATTATATATATATATATATATATATATATATATATATATATATATATATATATATCCTTACTTGATTTTTTCTCCACAGTAGCCCCTGCTAGCATGCATAAGTGTAAAATGAAAGGAACCATCTAATGCTGACCCGCATTTATCGTTCACGATAGTGGAGTCTACCATATATGTGTAGCGATAAAATATGAATCAGAACCCAGCAGAATGATAAGATTAACAAGCAATAGGAAACGTTTATCATTCTAAAATGTTTCCTTTTAATTGCAGCTTCATCAGCGAATGAGATATGGAGAAAAAGAACAGAGAAAATCTGGTATTTTTACTTTTGTGTTGATGATTTTCATATATATATATATATATATATATATATGAAAGTTAACATTGAAGACAACACTTAGAGGTGACAGTCTGTTTCATGCTAGACGCAATCGTGTGGCCTGACGATTGCGTCTATCATGAAACAGACTGTCGCCTCTAAGTGTTAACTTCAATGTTCACTTTTATTTTAACACACGCTCTATCTCCGATATTGAGCACTTTATCCCATAAATATAGTACACCTTAAGACTATATTTCTTCATATATATATATATATATATATATATATATATATATATATATATATAACAGGCAATGCATCTCTCACAAATCATTCCGTCTTCATTGATGGTACGGCATTAAAAACTGTTGAGGCGTTCACATACCTTGGATCAACAGTATCTTCTGATAGAAAAATAGACAGAAAAATCCAATCCAGAATAGCCAAAGCCAGCACAGCATTCGGTAATCTTAAACATAGGTTATGGAACACCAAAGACGTGTCTCTCAGAGTAAAGATCGTCCGCTCAACCGTTTTCTATGGTGCTGAAAGTTGGACCCTGTACTGCAAGCACATAATCAGCTTGACGCCATTCACTTTCACTGTCTTCGTGCCATATGTCATATAAAATGGGATGACAGGGTCAAGAATATTGCAATACTGAAGATATGTAACAACATCGCAGGAATTGAAACCATTCAAGCAAAGATACAACTTAGGTGAGTTGGTCATGTCGTAAGGGTGTATGACCATAGGCTTCCAAAAAAGGTGCTGTATGGACAACTACCAAACTCCAAGCGTTCAATTGGACGTCCAGTCTTATGCTACAAAGACAAATTGAAAGACAACTTGAAACGTCTCAACTTTGATCTGAAAACCTGGGAAGCCCAAGCATCAAACTTAAAGGAGTTGCGTAAGAAATGTTTCATTAAGTTAAAGGGTTTTGAAAACAGTCGACCGAAGCAACGTGATCAGCTTCATCAAGCTCTGAAGCAGAGACGCCATCAAAATCCTGGTTTAACAAATTTCATCTGTCAGTGTGGCTTTGTCGCTCACAGCAAGGCAGGGCTAGTATCGCACTTAAGAAAGCACAAAGTAAATATGTCTTTCCGTTATCTGATTTTCTCCCCAATAGCTCCTGCTAATATGCATAAGTGTAAAACGAAAGGCACCATCTATTGCTGACCCTAATTTATCGTTAACGATAAAAAAAATCTATATATGAGTTCAGATCAAATTTAGATCGGAATCCATCAGAATGATAAGATTAACAAGCAATTGGAAACGTTTATCATTCTAACATGTTTCCCTTTTAATTACAGCTTCATCAACGAATGAGATATGGAGAAAAAGAAAAAAGAAATTCTGGTATTTTTGCATTTGTTTTGCTTCATTTTGATTGATTAATCATGTTTCATCAGCATTCGACTTGCTAAACAAAAGTTAGTATAATTGGTGGCGTTCCGAATTCAATTATATATATATATATATATATATATATATATATATATATATATATATATATATATATGTTGAACCTGCAGTCCGCAGTTATTGGGAAAATCATTGTTTGATCCAGCATAATACACATAATACTTAATAAACAAAAATGGTGTGTCTATTTCAAGTACGAAGTCTTCACTATAATAAATCATTAACTAATGAAAATATCTGAATAAACATATATCTATTAATTCTTCAGAAATATATAACAGAAGTGAATAGTGGTTAACGGCAGGTAAACTACTTAACAAAAATAGATATCTGAGCACTGGTCAGAAGTGTCTGTTTCGATAAACCGGTATTAGTTTACGTTCCCCTCCTCGAGGAGGAAACAAGTTCGTAAAGTCTTTTCTATTGTTTCTAGTTCTCAACTTAATTATACTTTCAAGAGCCCTCTTTAAAATTTGATAATCCCTGAGAAGCTCCTTTAATATCTTCAATATAAACATTCCCTCACTCAATAAATTTGTTATTTTGTGTTTTTCAGCATTTGTTAGATCCTTTTCATTTACTATTTTTAAACATATATCATGGAAAAAAAGATAAAATAGTCTTTATTAGATTTCAGAGCCTCAAAATAAAATTAATTTAATCTGCATCATAACGCCAGACTGCAGTTCTTATAATAATTCCAATAACTTTAATAAGACATGTTGAAACTACCTTAAGATTTAAGCCAAAGTTTATTTTGACAGCTAAAGTAATCGTTTAAAATTACAAAAGTTTTCTAAGCAAATTCGAGTTATTGAGGTTCATGTGATTTGCATTATAAATTCAGACGGACCTTTTATTTATCTATCTATCTATCTATCTATCTATCTATCTATCTATCTATCTATCTATCTATCAGTATCTTTCAAGATATCTATATCTATATCCATATTTATCTGTATCTATCTAACAGCCATTGTTCACTAAACAATAAATTCTTTATGATTATCATTGCCCTGGATATATCCAAGGCAATAAATTCTTCACGAGGATCATTGCCCTGGACATATCCATGCCATTTTATCATGGTGGTGCAATTGGGGCTATTTCATAAACTCTCCAACTAGGTAATCTTTGGAAGGGCTCTGTCAATTATCAAGTTCTTCCTAACAGGTAGGTCTCCGAATGTCGATGTTAACGGCCAGTTATCGAAGCCCATAAGAACAATGCCGGCCATCAACAACGTTGTCTACTCACTCGTATCTTCCGCTCTATATGAATGATCTGCCTAAGCACATAACCCGATCATTAGTGAGCACCTCTAAAAACCTGGAAGACCAGAGCCTAACAGTACATCTCACATTTGACCTAGCCCAAGTGGCTCAATGGGGAAATGATTGGCTTGTAAAATTCAATACTACCAAACCAAACTAGTAACGTTTATCAATCGGTGTTCTTACTAGGAGGCTCCTTGTCTTGGACGTCTATTAGGCCTAAAGCTCTCCCCAGACCTCAAAACGAGCTCTTATATGAAATCTATTGTTAAAGAGGCTGGAATAATGTTTGGTTCATTTTAATTTTTATACTCTTGCTATACAAGAGGCAATTCAAAACAAAAATATAAAAATAGAGTATTGCTGCTATATGTACGTTGTCTATTCCCCACTTGCCAGTCTTGAGTTCAGAAGTGTTTAGGCGGTTTTGTAGGTGACGAATTATTTTCCACCCTGCGACACCTTTCCCAGCGATGAAAGGTTGCGAATGTCTCGCTGCTCTATCTCTAACTCCATGGCATGTGTTCTAACGAGCTACATTCCTTAGTCCCACTACCCCTGACCTTTAAAACTAAGAACCGCCAAGGGACGGCCACAAGGGTGGATCAACCACATTCCCTTCGTATTCCATTAGGAAGAAGTGACTTCTAATTAGAGAGCTTCTTTCCCAGAAATACTGGTTTATGGAATATAATCCAGATCTTGACCACTTTAAGTTTAGACTTAAGCATAATCGCTCCAGCTGAGACTCATGAACATCACTATTTGGCTTTTATTACGCTCATACAACGCCACACAGTAAAACTCTACCTTGAGTGGCTCATAGAACTTGGACTGGGTAAACATTAGTATAACATATCTATATTCTATATATCTATCTATCCCTAGTCTTTAGAAATTTGATCCATAAATATATAAAAGAATATATATATATATATATATATATATATATATATATACATACTTCTTGCATATCGTAGACCTAAGAACCTAAAAGAAATCATAGGTGGTAACCACATTTCAGGGGACAAGGTAATCCGTAATAAAGTAAGAACAAAAACAACATGATTTTCCCAACCATGTAACAACAAAAGAAGTTTATGTTGCAACCGTATTAAACGCACGAATTCATTCACTAGCTCAATCACTAAATCTACTTTCAAAATCTACCACGATTCTAACTGTAGAAGTCATAACATAATTTACCTCCTAGAATGCACACTATGCCAGAAACAATATGTATGGAAATCTGAATGGCCCTTTCACTACAGAATTAATAATTATCGCAATCGAATTAAGTCGACTCTCCATGAAAAATTATTACCTGGAAAAACACGATTTCAAAACCCATGCCAAATTCACTATAATTGAGAGAATAGTTCAAAGCAGATAACATTAGAAAGATTTTAGAATCCCATGAAAATAAGTGGATACAACGTCTAAAAACACAATATTGACTTAAGCGACACAGTTTGAGAGATCCACTGAATTATTGAGAAAAGGTAAAGAGTGGGAATGGACAACCAAATGCCAGGAAGCATTTGAGAAAATAATGGAGGTTTTTACATCAAATCTGTTCCTGACTCATTACGATCCAAACCTTAACATCATTGTAGCCAGCGGCACCGGGGCGTGCATTTTACATAAGTTAAAGATGGATCGGTAAAGCCAATCGCCCATGCATCTAGGATGCTATTACCAGCTGAAAGCGGTTACTCGCAAATAGAAAAAGAAAGCCTTAGGAATCATTTAAAATTCATAGATTTATTCATGGAAGGTACTCTTTGTTGCAGACAGACCATCGTCCACTCATTATTATCTTTGGATCAAAAAGGGTTCTGCCAACGCATACTGCTAATAGACTGCAAAGATAGGGAACCATTCTCCTCAAGTATAACTACAATTTCTCCCATCCACTAACATCTGTCATACAGACGAGTTGTTTAGATTGATACCTAAATATGCTGAACCCCTTGAAGACACAGTCATTGCTGCCATAAGAACAGGGGTCGAAATACCTTGTGCAATACTGTCAGGGAGCTTCCTATAACAATTGACGAGATAATAGACAAAGTGTCCGTTGATGAGTTTATAAAGGAAGTAAAGGATAATCTAAATAGCAAACACCAGAATATCTCAGAAGTTTACTCACTCTGTAACGACATACTAATGTACGGAGACGGAGTAGTAATTCCATCCACACCACAGTAAAGAACATTAAAGAAATTCCATGTTGGTCATCCGGGAACTTCAAGAATGAGGAGTCTGATGAGGAGTTCCGTCTACTGGACCAACGTGGACAAGGATATCGTGTAAAATCGTGCAAAGGGTGTGCATTGGCTGCTAAAGCACACCCGATAAATTCAATCCCTGGCCTAAAATCGACTGACCGTGGTCGCGGATACGCATTGAATTTGTTGGCCCACTTAATAGCTTTTACTACCTTGTAGTAGTTGACAGTTATTCCAAGTGGCCAGAAATATTGAAATGTAAGAAGCCGACCGTTACAGTAAAGTTTTTGCACGAGCTATTTTCCCGTTTCGGAGATGTTCACTGTGTGACGCTATTTAGGGTTGCGTGACAAAAAAAAAAAAGAAAAAAGGCGAGAATTAAAATTAGGTGATAAGAATCTATCACGAAAAGACGATGATATTTTTTTCTAACAAAGAAAAGTGCTAAAGGTTTTATCCTCATTAGCGAGGAAAGTAAAGTCGCGGATGTGTCGGATTTGATTTGATTTATGACGGCGCACCGAATGGTGAAAATTTCAGGTCGTTCAGGTGACCTACAGGGCATAATTCTAAAGAGATAAAAATTAATTGGGTCGCGGAAAAATGTCCGTTGGACCAACCGCAGAATTACAAAAAACAAAAGATTAAACCATTAGCTATCTACGGAGATGTCGTTTGGAAAAGGCACCTGTTTATAGTCAGGAGCTGGCTATGATAGCAAAATTATTTTATCAGAACGAATAATTGGCGCCAAGGTGCGATATCGCCGGATGACCACCCACTTGTTTGGCGAAGGCCCCGAGTGACGAATTCCAGGTGACATTCAGATAAAATTGAGATTAAGGGATCACACTACGGGTCGTATTGGTTTGTTGTCGGGCAGAAAGAAAGAAAGAAAGAAAGAAAGAAAGAAAGGAAGATAATTTTTTTTTCTTTGAGCAAGTTTTTTTTAAACCGAGGCCAGTCCGGCTACACCCACGCCGCTGAGCGCCCATTGGCTGAATGGTGGCGTGAGCGTTAAGCGGAGGTAATCATGTGAAGAAGGAGGGGAGGCCTGTTGACGCCCCCCTGAAGGGATCGGCGTGAGATGCCACTGTGAGAGAGAGGGGAAACCTGTTGACGCTCACTGAAGGGATTTGGTGAGATACCCATTTGAAAAAGGAAGAATCTGGAAGGACTTCCAAAAATGGAAAATAATAAATTTTCCTGACCGAAAACAAAGAAGTGGATTGTGAATTTAGAGTTATCAAGGAACCTCAAACACCGACAAGCCCACCCCGGTTTTGGTCGGCGTCCATATAAGCAGAGTCACAACGAGTTGCGGCAGTTCGAAGATCGCAGTTGAGTTGAGTTGAGAAGCTGAGTTCAGAACGACTTAGACTCACACCACCAAAACAAGTTTTACGAATATCGCCTGAAGATACACCAAGAACCAGTTTCTTAAAGAACAAACAACTTAAGATGTTAAGACTCGCCTAACAAACACAAAGTGTCACGAATCCATATAGCGTGTTGGGAAGAAGACGCAGTCCTGTATTCAGAAACTAGATATAAAATATTGTTATCCTTTTTTAACACATTTGAACTTTTCGAGTTATTACTTTATTTTCTTTTACATATACTTGTGCGATATTACATTTGTCCGGACTCAGCTTGCATTACGGCAATTATGCCACACAGTTCTCATTTTTATCAGTCATTCCTGATTGAACATATTACCACGGTGCCATATCACCCAAGAAGTAATGGACAGGCAGAGAGTTTTGTGGGCACTTTAAAGAAAGCACTGAGGAAGGCGAGAGGTACTCCGAACGATACGGCTATACAGCAGTTTTTTCAGGTCTATCGTGCAACCCCTAATAACAGTTCTCCATCTGCCAGTGGAGGTCATATTTGCCAGGAAAATAAAATCCGCATTTAAAAAATTCCTTCCGAGTGAAACAAAAACGGGAAATAGGAATAAAGTGTTTTAAAAGAGCTTTAAGATTGATGAAAAGGTTTTTTTCGTGTATTTGCGAATAATAAAGCTCACTGGGCGATAGGAACAATAGACAGACAAATTGGTAACATGATTTACATGATTCAGGAACCGAAATTTATGTACAAACGTCATGTAAACCAAATTAGAAAACGCTATGAAATCATTGTCGACAGGGAACCCATCGACGATGACACTATGGACGTCATCTTTGACACGTTTGAGATACCAATACCGCAATCTGTGCCAGAGCTCAGAAGGCCCAAAAAAAAAAAAGGAAATTTATGGAAGCCTTTAGACATTAACCCGAAAAAAAAAGATATTGAACATCTTTTATTTCATACCATCTCCACAGAAAAAGGAAAAGAATGAGTAAAAAAAAAAACATCTCACTTATGAATTTTGAATTACCAGAAAAGCACAATACGGATTGGATCATTGAAAAATATTAACATTATAATTTACGATTAACCTTATCTAATTTTTTATTATTTAAAAATAATG